CCGCTGCCCCGGCGCCTCTCCCTGGCCTGTCCGCACCGGCGCTCACCCGCCGCCATGTCGGTCAATCCCATGGCCTACGAGGCGCAGTTCTTTGGCTTCACCCCCCAGACGTGCATGCTGCGCATCTACATCGCGTTCCAGGACTACCTCTTCGAGACGATGCTGGTCGTGGAGAGCGTCATCCTGAAGAAGGTGGCCGGGTTTCCCAACTGCAAAATCAGCCCCTTCCAGGTCCGGAAAAGCACGGAGAAATTTCTTCTCTTCATGAAGGAGCACTTTGACAAACTCTTCAGTAAAATGGAAGAAGTGCTTCTGCAGCTGGTGTTAAACATCCCTGCGAACGTGCTGCTTCCCGAGGACAAGGTCCACGAGCAGTTCTCCTACAGCAAAGAGCAGTTCCAGGCGCTTCAGGATGAGATCAGTCAGCTGCAGCAGCAGTACAGGGCTGAGGCGTCTGCTGGGCAGGCTCTGCGAGCAGAGCTGGAAGAGCAGAAGGTTGTTCGGGCTGAGCTCGAGAAGATTGTGCAGTGGTTTGATGGGCTTGAGAATATCTGTAGGGAGCACGGGACCAGCAACCTCAAAGAAAGCTTTGTGTTCTTGACAGAGAACTCTAAGAAACTGCAAGATGTGCTGAAAGATGTTGAAGAGAAAAGCAAAAAAATAAAGAAGCAGGATCAGTTATTGTAATGGAAATCCTGAGAAGGCCACAGGAATGTAGACAGTTTGCTTGAAGCAGTAGGGCCTTATCTTCCGAGAAGCATCTCCCCTAATCCCTTGCTCCTCTAATCCTGCTGAGATCCAGGCTAAAAGATGTTGGACTGTGTCAGTTTGCACCCATTTAGCACCTCCTTAGGGAAGCAGGGAGAGGAAAAAGCCTGTAAAATGTAAAACTGAAACTGGTGCTGGGGAATAAATTTTGGGTTGGATAGCCTGGCTGTGGAGACACCCTCCAGGCCTCATGAACTGTAACATTGAACACAACATTTGCTTATGTCCAGGAGTATTTAAAAAAAAAAAAAAGGCATGTCTAAGACAGAGCTGTAAGGATGTGCAGTCTGCAGCCGGGTGCCTGCTCCGGTAACAGCTGATGTTCTTGGCGAGGAGCAGCTCCCGGAGGGGCCATGCTGCCCAGGGCGGGTCCTGGGAAGGCTGAGGGGCTGTTGCCCGTGTTTGAAAAGCCGGCGGCAGCTGGGGAGAAGAGCTGTGACAGCGAGGCTGGTGTCTGGCTGCGATGACCGGGAGATCTCTGCACCAAGGCCGACATTCATCCCCCTTTCTGAAATTTCAGTGGGGGATGAAACCCCTCCACATACCTTTGCAAAGGGATAGCCTGTGTTCTCTGTCTGACGTCCTTTTTCTACAAAATAGCAAAGCTCCTTTTGTTCGTGTTTAATCGGATTTTCCTGCCAAACTGTTGGGAAGACGGACTGCTGCGCTCGAGTTCTTTGAAGTCACTTAATTAAGCTTTCTTTTATCTGTACTTGATTCAAAATGCATTCCAATCTCCCCATCTTTCTGTTGGGCTCAGCAGGTTTTGAATCTCCTGTACAGACCTATTATGAAGTGTCAGTACTAATTTCTGCTTTACTAGCATAGGTACTTGAAAGATGCTACACTTGTGAATAATTTAGAAGTTACTGCAATAAAAAAATGTATCAAAAGCATAAAATACACATTGCAATTCTTTCTTCCCCAACTTCTGAAGACTGTACAGAATCAGCTCGGTAAAACAGGTATCTTCAGATGCATTTGCCTTGATGGGTGGCTGGAGACCTGTGGGACTCGGTGGCCACTCTTGAAATCCTCAGAGGAAATGAATTCCTGAGGCTGAGCTCCAGACCTCTGCAGTGAACATTAGGCTGTGCAGAGGCTGGAGTTAGAGGAGGAAAAAACAGGGAATTGGGTAAAAATGAACCCGCTTGTTTAGAAAACAACTTGGTGGCTTGAGAGTTACCTGGTATTCTCTAACTTGAAGAGTAGGACAACGTCATCAATGCAAAGTCCGCTGTGGATAATCTTACCAAAAAAGTGTGTCTTCATTTTGTGCCGTTCCCCTCAGCTTTGCTGCAGGAATCAAGCAGCCAGCAAGCTGGGAATGGATGAAGCCATGTCGGTGTGGCTTCATTTCACGCTAAATTGTACAAAATAGAATGTGAAAAAAAAAAAAAATCTGCTGAGAAACAAAGGTGACAACTTGCCCCAAAGAGCCCGTGAACGCTTCCACAAGAGAAGTATGAGCAAGAACTTGGTGAAGGGGAGGGGGCAGCACCACCTGCTGCTGCCCTGTTATTCTTCAGGGCACAGGGCAAGGGCTGCCCGAACCTCGTGGTGTCAAGAAGCCGTCATTGCAGTCCTCGTCTTGTGTTGGAAAGACAGCGGAGGAAGGAGGAGGGCGAGAGAGCGGGGACAGATCCGAAACGTCTGGGGGACACTCCGGTGCGTGGGCAGTGGCGGCCTGAAGGGCACCCCGGCTTCTCCTGCTGAGCTGCATCTTGTGAGGTATTTATTTCTGAAAAAGGGGCGGGGGGTTGGGGCACAGATAAACCCTTGGGATGAGCGGGTAAGACATTGACAGCTCAGAGAGCTTCCCGAGAGGAGGTTTATTACACTGAGCTCTGCGCTGAGGCGTCTCTTCAGCTGCAACGAAATGCTGGTGGCAAAACCGTTCAGCTGAAATAAGCGATGGACAGGGCAGAGCAGTTCTGTGAAGAGAAAAAGGAACTTTGCCATGACCCCTCAGGCGGTACCAGCTTCTGGAATTCAATTGCTGTTAGAATCCTCATTTCTCCTCTTCGTTTTAGTTCATAAAATCCCTTTTAAGAATAAAAGTCTTTAACTGCGGGGGGTGGGGATACATGGGTGAGGGCGTTGCCAAACATAATCCTTCCCAAAGAGTAACAAAAAGGGTCACCAGGGGCTCTCAGTAGCAGCTGTGGTGGCAGTATGTTGAAGAAAAATTGCTTTGTGAGCCAGAATAGCCTTTTTTTTTAAAAAAAAAAAAAAAAGCTTACCTATAACATTCAAATAAGCATTAAAAGTCCTTTTTTAAGACCATTTCCAATAAACTGGTGAACGACACAGCCACCCGCAGAGGTTTTAGCGGAGGGAGGGAGCGCTGCTGGGAGCTCACCTTACCTAACGCCAGCGTTACGGGCTGAAACCGAAAGTACTGGGACAGCCCCCAACGAGCACCGGCGAAGCAAAAGCACCGAGCCCGGGGCAGGAGCCGGCGCTGAGCTCCGGGAGCACCGAAAGGCCAACGGTGGCAGCAGAGGGCACCAGGAGACCGGCGCCAGGCTTCGCTTGCAGAAAAGCCTGGGTGATTTCCTCCCACCCCCTCCATAACGCTCCCGTGCACCAAGAATTACCAAGTGTCTCCTCAGACGAATCAGTTGTTTTACCCTTCATGAGGAGGAGACACTTTTCTTGTGCACTGCGTGCCCTGAGAGACCACGTGTGAGTTTGCAGCGAGCTGGGTCACGGCGATTCTGCACCGAGTTTCTCCACCCTGGCCCTGTATTTGCCTTGAAAGAGGAATTGTTCTTGTTTTCACTCGTTTGTGCTTTCTCCTCTCCTGACCAGGCAGCTTGCACAGTGCCAAGGTCTGCTCCAGTATGTCCTTCACGGCTGGAGCAGTGGGCGAGCAGGGAGCACCAGCCATGCTGGTTGTACTGGGATTTGCCTTGGACATGGCAATTGCTAGGTGACGCTTGTGAGTTCCGGGTGTTGCCGCATTGTGCTGCCAAAGCAAAACCCCTCCTATTGCCAAATAGGTGAATAGGTCAAATAACTAAATCTGACATTAACCATTCGACCTTCCTGGTGTGGGATATCCGAGCTGCTCCGGGAGCGCTGGGCTCAGGGCTGTACCCACACTGGCCCCGCACCCTCCCGCGAACACCCCTCACTCCCAAAATATGACCTGTCCTGTCGCATGTGCTCTGATCACTCGAGTCACCCTAATGAAATATTTTTAAATCAATTATTTCCCGATGCTCCGAAGAACTTTGCAGGAGATGCCTTTGGCCAGCACTTGCCACCCTTGGGCAACAAGCCAGGGAGCTGCCGCCACACTTTGCCACCATGCGCTGCTCCGGGCTGCCACCGCCCGAATCCCTCCTTGCCAGGGAAGCTCCCAGAGCCTGGGCAACTCCCCGTTAACCTCGGACACTCACGCAGCGTTACGGCGGGCGGGGGTCCGGCGAAGGCCACGGGGTTTTCTTCCCAGCTTCACCTGCAGCTGCTGCATCTGACAGTACTGGAGGGGCCCTCCCAGCCCCGAAGCGTGCTCATGCACTCGTGGGGCCCCTTGAGGTCCAGGCGCAGCTCAATGTACCCCGACTCCATCCTCAGTGGCCTCTGTCTGTCCTTGTCCCGCTCTGCACAGGCTCCCGTCCCTCGCGGAGGCCGATGGAGCGCAGCAGAGCAGCGATGGCCGCGGCACACGTCCCACCGGTGACGGGGTACAGGTGCACGGCAGGCAGAGACAGGGTGGCACCAAGCTGCTGCGGGAGCAGGAGCTGGGACTGGCTTCTAAAGAAAGGAGAGAAATTCCACGTGGTAGTTTTAACCCTCAGTTTCTCTAACTGATGGTGTCGAGCTGGAAGCTTCAGAGAGCCCTAGGCTGGGAGCAAGGTGCTTTATAAGACCCGATGTCAAAAATATAACTGGCTGTTGTGAAATGTCACCGCGAACCTTTTGTAGGGGGACAGCAGCCTCGCTGCAGAGCGCTTGGTCTAGTAAACACACCAGAGCTGAGGTCTAAGGGAAACGAAGCCACCAGTTTACTTACTGGGATAAAACGCACGCCTGCTCTGGAGACACGCAGGAGCCCCGAAGCTCGTCGGGGCTGGGGACATCCCGGCAGCCGGACGCGGCAC